TACTACAGTTTTTCTAGATGTTACCACTGGGGGAAACTGAATAGAGAATATTATGTGATCTTGGGCCTCCCCAGTGGCTCACCGGTAAAGAATGCACCTGCAAGGCAGAAGCTGCAGGAGATGCAGGTTCATCTCTGGGTTGGGAAGATCCCCCTGGAGGAGGGCATGGCAACCCACTCCAGTATTCTTGCCTGGAGAATCCTATGGACAAGAAGAGCCTGGCAGGCTACAGCCCAAAGGGTCACAGAGAGTTAGAAGTGATGGAAGCAAGTCAGCATGCATACATGGGATCTCTTTGTATTATTTTTTACAATTGCAAGTGAATCTACAATTACCTCAAAATGGAGGCTCAGTGGTAAAGAATCTGCCTGACAATGCAGGAGACCTGGGTTTGATCCCTGGGTGCAGATGATCCCCTGGAGAAGGGACTGGCAACCGACTCCAGTATTCTTGCCTGGGAAATCCCAAGGACAGAGGAGCCTGGTGGGCTACAGTCTATGGGGTTGCAAAGAGTCAGAAATGACTTAGCGACTAAACAATAACAACAACAAAGTTAAACTTTAAAAAAGAAATTACAGCTATGCAGTAAGGGAAAAAACATTTTAATAGAAGAATTCACCAAGCTAACCAGTAGAGGCTAGTACTGTAAACTAAATAAAACTTAATAGCTCAAGGGCAACACAGTAACATAACAGAGTAAAATATTTGATGCCCATAATAATGATTCTAAGGCATGAAGAAAACATCAAACACATTTATCATAATCTGTATAAAAGATGACAGAAATAGGCATTGTAACTTAGATTGGTATTAAAAATGTCAAAATAAGGTTTGCATAATTGATGAGTATTCCACTTTTGACAATGCTTTTCATGCACCACCCATAACTGACCCTTGACTCCTACTGACCCTACTACTCAATCCCGACTCTGCCTTCATAGGCCAGCTTCATACCTTCTCTTGCTTAGATCCCCATAACAGCTTTCTATCCCTCTTCTTTGCCTCCAGCCTATGCTTTCAATTCATTCTCTACCCTTTGTTATAATGAGATAAAATAAGAACATGATCATCCATCTCTCTTTTACTCTTTCAACAGCATCTCAGGATAGAGTTTAATTTCTTTAGACTGGCACAAAAGTTATTTTAGTAATGTCTCCTGTCAGCTCTATAGCTTCCTCTCCTGATACCCTTCCACATTTTCCAGTGCTTAAATCACATAAAACTTTTTTATGTCTTTTATTTCATAATATTGAAGTTTTTTTCACATACTGTTCTCCTTTGCCCTTCAAGTGAGCTAACTCCTGGTTATCTAATAAGAATTTACCCTTCCAGGAATTCCTTGTCATGTTCTGTGTGAGATGTACTTCCACAGCACCTTCTTGGTGACTCAATTATAGTATTTACTGTACAGCACTACCATCCTTTTTTTTTTTTTTTACTGCTTCATTATTAGTAAAGAGAGAGCAAGAATTAATGCATTTTATTTTTTATCCTTTGGTATATGAAAGGTGGCTCAGATGGTAAAGACTCTGCCTTCACTGTGGGAGACCCATGTTTGATCTCTGGGTTGGGAAGATGCCCTGGAGAAGGAAATGGCAACCCACTCCAGTATTCTTACCTGGAGAATTCCATGCACCGAGGAGCCTGGTGGGCTATGGTGCATGGGGTTGCAAAGAGTAGGACATGACTAAGACTGAGAGACTAACACTCTCACTACACTTTCAAATGTTAGTGGAATGAATAAATGTTATCCTTTATAACATTTTAAATAGCTGAAAATATAAATATCCTGAATTCCTTTCATTTCTCTTTACTATATTATGAATATATTATGGGTAATATGGGCTTCACTGGTGGCTCAGTGGTAAAGAACCCACCTGCAATGCAGGAGACGTGGGTCTGATCCCTAGGTTGGGAAGATGCCCTGGAGGAGGGCATGGCAACCCACTCCAGTACTCTTGCCTGGAGAATCCTATGGACAGAGGAGTCTGTGGGCTACCGTCCATAGGTTACCAAAGAGTCGGACACGACTGAAGCCTCTGAGCACGCATGCATAGATAATATAACCAGGGATATCTAAATCTACTGATAACTAGATTTATTTGGATATGTTTATATTTTTTAGCTTAATCTATACATCTATATATGTAGATTTGATTAATATGACTTAAACTGCTTAAAGTAGAAGTCCTTATTTATTCTAAGGTACAGTTTTCCTGCTTCATGGGGAACTCCATACTCCACCATTCTCACAAATAGATAATGTAGCTACCTCACACTTCATGTTCACCAAATAATTTATCCTGTGATTCTCTAGGTAATATTTTTTTCTGCCTATGGGATATTTAAGGAATCTTCTTAATACAGGTTTTAGAGATTCTTCCAAAGTGCCTGACCCTCACCGCTTGCTAGTGTTTCCTTTTTGCTTTATTTGGGCAGTTTTCCCCATTCAGTCCTTTTCTTTCTTATTGTGCCAGTTGGTTACACAGTTACATAGGAGTTTTGTCTGATCATCTAAACTTTTAAGCTTATATGCTTACATTATATTGTTTTAAAGCTATTTGAATGTTTCTTTTGAGTTCTTTACCTCTTAAAATTTATTTCTATTTAGTTTCCTCATGAAGCCATATTGGATCTGATTATTGATATTTCTAATGATGAAACAGATTAACCAAAATTATTTTTTCTCCTAATATAGTATTTAATAATTGGTACTCAATTAGTTATTTTGTTGATGAATGAATGCCTCTTCACTAATTTATAAAAAGATAGTTCTAAGTTGAAAATTAAAAACAATGTAGGAAATAAGTTAATATTCTTTAAGTATGTGTATATATTAAGATTACTTGGTCCACAAAGCAGCCTAACTAGAAAGTTATCTGAGGTTGTGTTCCCAAAAACTAATATTATAAAACAAAACAAAAAAAGGGATGCTATGGAAGACAAGAAACTGTGGCTCTAATTGCTAAGAGCAATTAAGGGAAGTCTTAGGATGCCTATTGTGATTAGGTCTATGGGTATATCTATTGCAGCAGTAACTATTGGTGGAGGAAGGTCTTGGAGAGAAACAAAGAAGACTTCACTGTGTGAATATTGAGTGACAGAATGGAAAACTGAAGAATGCAATAAACACATACAAGAAAAATACTGGCAACAGAAACGCAAAAAATGGTAACAAGAAAACAACATGTGTGTGATTTTAGGCAATCAATATAAGTAAAAAAGAGCACTTGGTGCTATGAAGATCTTTTGAGTAATACTGGGGAAATAGTAATGACAATGTCAAAGTACAAATTTATCTCATTTTGTAGGAAAAAACCTAAACGTCAGACTATCTCTACCAGTAGGAAAAATAGTTTTTCTAAACTCTATGACTATAATATGAATAGACAGCATAAACTCAGATGATGTAAAGCATAAGTGGATACATAATGGCAAGGCCAAAAAAGTCACAATGATAGATATATTCTGAAGTTCAGAAGTGTATCTAGAATTTTGTTCCCTTTATAAAAGGTGAATATAGAAATAAATCATTAGTGTTTTAAAAAAACACTTTTATGTGGCTTTACATAAAAACAGGTTTTCTTTACCCCTCTGTAGGGCAACAGAAAAGGAAAACATAATGCAATTATATTGAAAAATGTACTGCCTCTTAGAATTTTAAACCCCAAATCTTCTTCTTTATTTTCTACATCAGAATTCATATGGTATTTGATAAGATAGGTTGGAACTTTATGAATCAAATTCCACATATAAAGCCTGCCATTTCATACAGCAAGACTATTAAAAAATGTACAATTGACAGATATTAATTTGCTAATCAATAAAATAAGCTTTAATGTTGAAGCACTACATGACAAATAAATATTTTATATATGTGTTCTCAACTATTTCTATTATTGAACTTTTTTGCTCTACATAACAATTCCTTGAAAAATATAGTATTAATTCCAATCATAAATGAGAAACTAAAGTTCAAAGAGCTTAAATAACTTGGTCTAACTGATGGAGTTAGGATTTTAACCTGGATCTCCGACTCCAAAGCCAATGACACTTTCAACATAAGATTATTCATCTTTATTGAACACCTATCAGTGCCTTTTATAAGCTAAGGAGCTGAAAGGTAGGAGAAAAACAGAAATACACAAATAAAAAACAGAAACAAAATGAAGCTTCATTAAATACTATCAACTACACCAGGCAGTGTAGAGTTACTCTAAAGAGAAATACAGTGCCAGAAAAAAATTACAGGTAAACAATTTTGTATTCCCCAAATGGGATTTGCAACATATGCCCAATGATGTAGTTAATAAACTCTAGGGATTTTCTGCTATTCAGCTTTTGTAGAAATATAAACAATGTAGAAAGAAACAACAATAAAAATGGCATAACCACTCCACATAAAAAAAAACCCCAGTAATTCAAATGAATTTTGAGAAATGTCAAGCAGGGATAGGATCGTTTGCATTTGCGTTTTTACTTTATTAGGTTTCCAGTTTATACTAGAAAGCTCTTTTTTTAAAGTGGCAATCATTTATAAAATTCTTTTTACAATATTTCCACCATTATTCATATTTCCCCTATTTTTCTGACTGGATGAATGAGGGAAGTACATATATAAAAATTACATATAAGTGAATAATAATTAAAATAAAATATATTCTATTAGAGAGTAAATGCTAATTGGTCAGGTCACCTTTTATCATTAAAGTAATACAAAAAATGAAGAATATATTTTATAGTCATTTTAAGAAGTAGATATGACACTAATAAGTTCTATGACAAGAAAAGACTGCCTCAGTCACATTTAGTAAACTAGATGATACATCATTCTGTGCTGTGGCAGAAAAACAATAAAATTTAAAAGCCACAAAAATCTTGATCAATTTTATAGAGAAATCACTGTCATGACTTAGGTTCATAAAATGTTACAAAGTAAAGAAATTATTAATTTATAAAGACTGAGTTTCTATGCTTTTGAATAAAATACAATTACTTACTTTTTTCTCCGGTTTGACTCCACAAAATATTTACGTGCTCGATTTCGACATATTTTTTGTTGCTGCAGTAATATTTGGCGCTCTTCTTCTAAATTTTTCTCAAAATGAATTTTCATATCTCTAATGACAGCATAAAGTTAAGGACAGTGGTTTACATCTTTAGTGGATGAATGTCAGTGCTATCTGATAAATATAATTACAGCCTCATACTAATGATGTAATGATTTTTTGTGGAATAATTAGTATGTGCACACATTAGTGTCAGTGTATGACTGGCAGATGTTTTATTTTTTCTTGACTTGATAATAGAACTGAAGATACATCTCATTTTCTTTGAGGAAAAATTAATTAATTTTATATATCATGAGCCCAGATAAGGAGAATGTCTATCTTTTCTTTCATTATACAGATATTTGGGTACTTATTAACAAGTTGCTATCTTAGGAATGTTGGGCTTCCCATATGGTGCTGGTGGTAAAGAATCTGCCTGCTAATACAGGTAGATGTAAGAGATCTGGGTTTGAACCCTGGGTCAGGAAGATCTTCTGGAGAGGGAAATGGCAACCCACTCCAACATTCTTGTCTGGAGAATCCCATTGACAGAGCCTGGCAGGTAGCAGTCTATAGCGCTGCACAGAGTCAGACACAACTGAAGTGACTTAACACACATGCACATCTTAGGAATGTATGCAGAAAAATGAAATAAGGTTATATTTCACTAATATAAAGTAGATGAGTTAAATGTTTCAGTCAATACTTTAATTCACATTATGAAAGTCATATTAAAATATTAAACACCACTTAGCAATATAACTGGGAAAATTGGTGATTTACTCTTAGGTTATAAAACAAACCATCAGGAAAACCATCATAGCAATGTTTACAAGAAGTCTGCCAGATAAAGAGTATTTTAGTTATCTAAATCATCCATTCATTTGGAATTTATTTCTTTAAATAAGTTGAATTTCTGTGGTTAACTGATATCTGCATTTATTCAGCTACATTTCAACTGGCATTACTGAATGCCTTTATCAAGTTTATCATAGTATTTTTCTGTTTTTGATGATTCTGAAGTTTGAAGAAGTGGTCACTGAATTACCATTTCCAGTACCTCATCATTAGATGTAGATGTATATAGGATTGTATTGAAGTTATATATTGCGGACATGCCTGGTTGTCTTTTTAGAATAAACTATGTTTAAATCACTCCTCCCCCCCAAATAAAGATTTGAAATTCTCTTTAAGAGGTCTATTTAATTAAAATTTTATAAGATATAAATATTAGTGGTAAAACAACATATTAAATAATAAGCAGTAGATAATTTGTTAATTCAAAATGTCTTAATTTTAGGATCCTACAGTGTTTCAGTTTCAACATGGTAAAAAAAAACAACTATCCAATACTATATATTTCAAAACAATCACATTTATTTGAATGTTTTAGTCATTTGAAACTTTGCTAATGGGTGCTTTCAATTATGCTGCTATCTATTTTTATGCCATTGGCCATAATTAATTTATTACAAAATTTTGTACCTCACCATAAACAAATACATGCACTTGCATACATGATATTTTTACTTAATGTTTCTTTTGAAGGATTTATAAAATTGAAACCAAAAAAAGGAAGGAATATGGTTCTTTGTTAGCATGGAAAAAGCTAAAGATTTAGCTGCTTCTTCTAAAAGAGTAATTTATTAGAAGGAGTCAGACTTCAACAAGATGGCTAACTGCTAAGTCACAACATCTCAGTGGGGGAAAGTGCAACTTCCTTTCAGGGTACCCAAGATCAACACTGTTGGGTGGGAGGAAAGGGAAAAGTTGCTTCAGCTCAGGTGAGAAATATGAAGGAGTATGATACACGTGGAAACAATTGTGTTCAATGTTTCAACATGCTTGTGTTCTCACCACAATAACATAAAGAAAATCACAAATGTAACATTTGTAATAATGTTCTGACAACTACGTATTGTTAGATTTAATTAAATCTTTCTCTACATATATATATGGCTAATATATATATAATATTGCCTGCTGAGTTATAAAAAATGCTTTGCCTTTGCATCTCTTCAAAGTATGGTATTCAAATTTAAAAAATATTACATGGCTAGTTAAATTTTATTTTTCATACAAGCTGTACTGTAAAGGTAAGATACTTCTATAAGAACCATAGTTAAATATTTGTTCAAAGAAAGGCTATATACTTATTAAAGAAAACAACCAACAACAAAACCAAGAAAATTATAGGTTGTAGTACTGGCTAAGTAATACATAATGATTGTAATTTAAAAGCATAGCCTAATATATCCCACCTCATCCTCTCCCAATATAGTCTTTTTCTAATTGTAGCTCATTTAGGTTGTTTCAAATATTGTACCACCACTAATAACTATGAATCATATAACCAATACTCTTGTCAAATTATTAGAGCTATCCTCATGCTTTTTTTTCTCTGTACCTTCTTCTACAGCCTTGACTCTGATGCTCTAAATCCCTTGCCCAGACCACTCCAGTAGTCTTCTAACTCATTATATTACTCCTAAACTTGTCATCCTCCATTCAAACGTCCACAACACCAGCTAAACACAAATCTCACTACGTCTCTCATTCTTTGCTGTTCTCCAAAATCTCCCTGTTACTTTCATGATGACATTAAAATATAAGGCATCCTATAATCTGGTCTTTTTTTTTCATCTCCATTTTTCAACACTTCCCTACATGACTCCTAGCCCAGTCACACTATCACACTATGATACTTATTAACAGAACAAGCCATGACGTAGTTTGCCATTATATTTTGGTACATGCTGGCTAACTCTACCCATCTTTTCAGGCACACCTCAAACAGTTCCTAGCCCATGAAGCTTTTTCTACCTCTCACTGGATGATATGACACTCTCATGGGTACACCATGTGTGTGTCCTCTACATTTCTATACAATATAATAAGCCTGGCATGGTGCTTAGACGAGATCGGGCGCGTTCAGGGTGGTATGGCCGTAGACTGGCATGGTGCTTAGAATATGGTAATGGTGTAATAAAAGCTTGCTGAATGACTTCCTTGGAGAAAATTCTCAGCAGATAAACTAAGACAAAAGGTATACATATTTTTATAGCTTTCAGTGTCTCACAGACAAACTGATTTCCAAAAGGATTATATAAATTTACATGCCATTGGAAATATATGAATATGAGTTAAAAACCTCGAGTATTAGGTAGTACTTTTTAAAAAAGAAAGACCATGAGGAAAGTCAGGTTTTAGTATGTATGCATTAGCAAAACAGAATAAATGTCTTATTTGATACTAATTTTTATTTTCCTCTTTGGTGAATTTTTAGTTCAGAGTCACTGGTCATTTATCTTTTGAGAACTTCATTTAAAAAATCAATTTCAGTAAATTCAATAGAGACAGAATAGTGTAAATATTGACCTTCTATCATAGTTACTACAAGTATTTTCTCCAGATAATTCATTTTATTTAATTATACAATGTCCCCTTACACTAAAGTTTTAAATTAATGAGTTATCTTTGAAATATTTTTCATTTGAAATTGATTCTTGTTTTTCAAAAGGTAAAGTTACTATACCTTCAAGTTATGAAAAATGTGAAAATCTATTTTCTGTCAGTTTTTCTTTACAATTTTGTATTTATTTTTTATGAGCCACCTGGTGGCTCAGATGGTAAAGAATCATCCTGCAATGCAGGAGACCTGGGTTCAATCCCTGGGTAGGGAAGATTTCCCTGGAGAAGGGCATGGCAACCCACTCCAGTATTCTTGCCTGGAGAATCCCATAGATTGAGAAGCCTGGACTATAGTTCATGCCTTTTTTTTTTTTTTAATCAGTTCAAATATATTTTGGAATTAAGTATAGTGTAACTCAAGGTAGAGACAGTGAATTTAGACTACTCTTTTTTAGTGGTTTGAATAAGGAAACAGGAGATATTAAAACAAAGTTATGAGTTCTTATGATCAAAAGGTTTGATTTTTAGTTTTAAGGATAGCCAAGACCAGAGGATGTTTATAGGCTGTAGGGAAAGAAGGCTATTAGAGAAATCTTGAAAGTAAATTGTAATAGAGGGTTAGGATAATTTACAATCCAGGGTTACGGGGAAGAGGTGATGAAAACAGGGCATAAGTGAATGGACTCACGTTCTACAGTAAAAGTGATATCCCATCAGTGAGCTTGGAAAAAGACAGGGTAGGGGACTGAGGTTGGTGACAGGAATAGGATGGTTTGTGCTGTTTATTGGGAGGAACCTGAGGGAGTTCATGCATCCATTCTCTTATGAAATATTAAGACAGGCTACTAAGTGAGGGGGAGGTGATCAAGATCTGGCACAGAAATTAATTTAATAGGAACAAGACAAAATTCCATTCTTGTTCTGGTGAAGCTGAGAACAATCAAACGACAGCAGTTTTGTGAATTTTCTCTGACAGATTTTTTTTATTCTTGAGTGAAGGAGTAGAAATATAGGGTTGTAATAGTTACTGGATGGTTGAGAGACAAGAACAGGAGTGCAAAGAACCAAGGATGTTGTTGAGAGAATATGTGTAGATAATTAAAAACAGGGTTAAACTGGGTAGGGAACAGAGAGGCAAGGTGGGTGCTAGGATAACATGGAATGGGTAAAGACTGGAGATACTTGTGAGAAAAAAAGAGGCATAGTGTGAAGCGGACATGAGACCTTCACTTCTTTATTTTAAAAACAAATTTTATTATATTTTTATTTGAATTGTTTTAAGAAATTGAAATTATAGAACTTTATCTAATTTTAATTAGATGAACTTCATGAAGTTTTGTTCTTCCATAGACTTTAGAGTTAGGAAATTCCAACTCAAGTGAGAGAAATATAGCCTCTGAGTACTGAATTCATATTTAGAAGTCACATGTAGAAATTTTACCAAGTCACTTAAGTCTACAGTTCATTTTTAAAAAATTTAGTTATTAATTTAATAAATCTGCACACCTACTCTGTACCAGGTATCCAATATGAAACATTACAGACACAGAGAACGTACAAAATGACACAAGTGCTTAAGTGTTTCTCCAACTAGTAACAACGATATTCTTGATTCACTAGCAAATATATATGTATAAACTAGGAAAAAATCTGTATTATATATAATACATATAGATGCATACACACACACACACACACACACTAGCAAAAGTTGTTGGATTTTAGCAAAGGCTCAGGGTATCTATTGAAATGAACATTTACAACTTTCTTAATTTTAACTATATGTTTAGTATTTAAGTATATTTTTAGCAATACATTTCTTTATAGGAAACCAACATTATAATTCTGGAATTATATCTATTTGGTTTTGTTCATTTAGATACTGCCAAATTTATTTTACAACTACTTCCTTTGTTGTATCAACATTCATACCTTAAAAATTTAAAAATATTAAGTCTATGATCATTTCACTAATGAAAATGATGGAAAGATACACCTTGTCAATGAGCCACTTACAGTGCTTCCCTATTTTCCGATTTACAGATAAATCAGGGTCAGTGTAATAGGAGTTCAGGGTTCAAGTAAACACAATGTCAACGGGACAGAATCAAATCCATACAGAAAGCAATCCAGTTTATTTCAGATTACACCTTGAGTCAGGACAGTTTTGAGGAGCAGCAAGGGCAAAAGTCAAAGTGAATGGAGTTAATAATGAATAGATGAAAAGAATTAGAAGCTGCCATTGCAGGTTAGCATTCTGAAAAGTCGACTAAAGCAAGAAAAGATGGGATAAAAGCTTGAGGAAGCATGATCAGAAAAGGGATATTTACCATTATTTAAGCTTTGTATGTACCTGTGTTCCTCACTAGAGTTGTATCCCAAGCACCTAGCCAAAAGAGGAGGCACTAAATGAAAACTGCTTGTTGACTTGCTTTGAAAAGTGCAATTCCCAGAACCGGGAGACAATAAGTAAGTGGGGGTTAATTTGAAAAGCAGAGACTCTCTGACAAGAATGAAGATGATTACTTAGCATCATCACTACCAACCAAGTCCTCTGAGAATACAAAGGTTACACTCTAATTATCATAACATTCTCTGAAGGAATAAACATGGTTTACATATTCTAAAAACAGAACCCTTTAACATTTTCAATTTTCTACAATGCAACCAATAATAATGTCAACGGTGGGCTAGACCAATTCTTAGGGACAAACTAGTGATAAACCAGTGTGAAGGCTCCAGGTCCTTTGCTTATTTTCTGTCTGTTGTCTCTCTGACAACAGACTGGGCACAGGATGGAAAACAAAACAAATTAACCAACTATGTTAGGCTTTAGCAGCTCTGTAAAATAAATGAAGTGTTAGGTTAACTGCTAAGACGGACTATTTCAGGAGACCAAAACATTTTATTTACTTGCGGCATTCTTTTCTCCAAGCAGCATGAATTATCAGGAGATGAATAATATGAAGTAAAGAACATAATGGCCTAACTCTACAAGAAAACAATCCCCAGAGAACACGTTTACCTATTTGAAAACTCATTAAAATAAAAAAAAAAAAAATACCGCAAAGTTGAAAACACATGAGATAACAAGGTGGTCGGGAAAGTGGTCCTAGAATAGGAGAAAATGGTATTTCAGGTTTAAGGGGAGCAGCGATAGTTGCTGAAGCAAATACCCGCATTAAGATGACTGGCTGGTTTCTCTCATCTGGCATCTGTGATAATGAGAACAGAACAGAAAAAAGATGGGGTTCCCCACTTCCAACACCGCCACCCAGGCAACCACGGCTGGAAGGATACAGGTAGGCGCCAGGTCGGTGACGCCCGCCGCTCAAGCGAGGGCTGAGGGGGGCTTTGACGTGGGTGTCCGAGGATTCAGTGCCCAGTCCGGCGACCGCGCTCCGGGCTCCAGGCCTCCTGGTCAGCATCCTTCACCTCAGCGCCGCCTCCCGGCTAGCCCCGAGAGCCTCCCTCATGGCAGCTCCTGCTGTCTCCTCCGGCCCTCCCAGCACTCCGTCTCTCAAACCTCGCGTCACTGCGGCGGGAAAGTTGGCCGCCGCAGCTCCGGTTCCCGCACAGCGGCGCTCTCGGCTGTGGCAGCTGCCGCAGCGGCGACCTTGCCTGGAAACGGCAGAGGTGGCGACGCCGCCGCCATGTTGACAAGCAACCGACGCCGCGTCCCTCGCGACGGCGACCAGGTTATGGGGGCGGGCCCTGGAGGCAGCCAATAGGAGGAGAGGACCCCTCCCTGTGCCCCGCCTCCCGCCCTCACCCCCACCCCACCCCCGCCTCGAGTTGCTTGAGGGAGGCGGCCAAGAAGCTCGCATCCTCGGGGACACGCGTCCTCTCTGGAGGGCGTGCTGACATGTGCCTTGGAACCTGACTCCGTTCCACCTCGCTTTTATGAGGCTGTTTTCGTGGGGGTACTAAGAGTGATGAAAGACAGTGAGATGCAAAAATCCCCAGATATTGGCAAAAGCCACCGTGGGGATTCTGAAATTATTTTCTCGGGGGTAATTCAGGATAGGATTAACTACCGAGTGCTGTTGTGTGGTTGAAGTTCTGTCTTTCTGGAGCATCACTGTTTCCAACCACCATCTCTTTTAAAAAGCTTTGTGGAGTGGAAATTTCCTTTCTCTGCATTCCATCACTCCCTCCCTGATCTGCCATTCCGTCTGCAAGTCGTCTTCCTTGCCATTTCCCTACTTATAAGGTATGCATTTCAAAGGCTTTTAATGGTGCCAGCCTTGTTGCCAGATTCTGGAAATAGACCATCAAAGCATCGGCGGCCAGGAAAGTAGTGCAGATTTAATTTAGTAATCTCCTGGGAAGACTTGCCAAAAGAGATCATCATATTGAAACTGTTTCAGGAGGTATGGAAAATTGAATGGATTTTTGAGCCATAAGTTCAGAAATTTTGCAAGTAAAAAATTTGAAAAAAGGCTGAAACTTTTTGTTGAAGTTCATTGTAAAAACACATGTGAGTTCTGAGTATATTTCAGCGTGTTTTTTTTTTTAAATTTTTTCTTTTTGTGTGGAAAAACCTCCCATATTGGAAGCAGAATGTACAAACCAAATGAAAATCACTCACCCACTATTCAAATGCCTATGTCTGTGAATCAATTTGTTCATTTTTAGAGTTCAAAATAATAAACTTTTCCAGTTGAAGCTATTTAAAACAGAGTTTTTGCAAAGTTGGATGCAATGATTCAAACTGGAATGTGTTCTGATTAAAAGTGCCACAACAAATCGAGTTTTGACTTAAAACACAAAGCACATAAGCCCCCTTCAGGACCATGCCAAGAGTATACAATATGTAATCTTGGCAAAGAAAGGCTAACTGTGTACACTAGAAAGATTAGCTATCTTTGCAAATTTTTAACTGACCTAGTCACAGGAATTTACATTGATTCTATTCCCACTGGCTATCATCACAAGTCTGTTTCTCTAGAGACAATTTGAGAGAGAGTAAGCAGTGGAGGGCAGTCTTCCCTGGTGGCTAAGTGGTAAAGAATCTACCTGGAATGCAGGAGCCTCAGGAGATGTGGGTTCAGTCCCTGGGTAGGGAAGATCCCCTGGAGGAGGACATGCAACCCACTCCAGTATTCTTGTCTGGGAAATCTCATGGACAGAGGAGCCTGATGGGCTACAGCCCATAGGATGCAAAGAGTCAGACATAACTGGAGCGACTTAGCATGCAAGTAACATAGGTCAGTAAAGTGCAAATAAAAGTGAGTGGCATGGTTAGCCTTCCTGAAAGTCTAGTTTTTGCTATATTATTAGTTTTGTATGTCATCACTTCTTATTTTTTTGTCACTTGGTGTATTAGCATTAAGAAGCATAATTTGGTTTTTAGTTTCCTACAAATGCTTGCCCATATAATCATTCTTCATTCAAATGTTGCTTTACAATGATACTAAAGAAGGAAAGAAATTTTAAACACAATGTTACCAATTTTTAAAAAAAATTACAGGATTTTTTAATCTTTAAATTATTTCCTTCTTCAGAAAAAAAATTATTTCCTTCTTCAAAATGTTAAACAGGCTTTTCAGGTTTTAAGTTGTACAGTCCTTTATTAAGTTGCATAGATTCTAGAAGAACCTTTAAGATTAAATATTTGGATAATAGATAATTTGAAGCATTTATAAGCTTTATCTTTTGGCAGGAAAGATAAGTATGATTTAAGCAATAATAAATAGTATTGCTCTAAAAATCACTAACATCTGCTGGATCATTGAAAAAGCAAGAGAGTTCCAGAAAAACATCTATTTCTACTTTATTGACTATGCTAAAGCCTTTGATTGTGTGGATCACAACAAACTGGAAAATTCTGAAAGAGATGGGAATACCAGACTCCCTGACCTGCCTCTTGAGAAACCTGTATGCAGGTCAGGAAGCAACAGTTAGAACTGGACATGGAACAACAGACTGGTTCCAAATAGGAAAAGGAGTACGTCAAGACTGTATTATTGTCACCCTGCTTATTTAACTTATATGCAGAGTACATCATGAAAAATGCTGGGCTGGATGAAGCACAGGCTGGAATCAAGATTGCCGGGAGAAATGTCAATAACCTCAGATATGCAGATGACACCTTATGGCAGAAAGTGAAGAGGAACTAAAGTCTCTTGATAAAAGAGCCTCTTTCAAGGAGAGTGAAAAAGCTGGCTTAAAACTCAACATTCAGAAAACTTAGATCATGACATCCGGTCCCATCACTTCATGGCAAATAGATGGAGAAACAGTGGAAACAGTGGCAGACTTAATTTTTTTTGGCCTCCAAAATCACTGCGGATGGTGACTGCAGCCATGAAATAAGAAGACGCTTGCTCCTTGGAAGAAAAGTTATGACCAACCTAGACAGCATATTGAAAAGCAGAGATGTTACTTTGCCAACAAAGATCCAACTAGTCAGGGCTATGCTTTTTCCAATGGTCATGTATGGATGTGAGAGTTGGACTATAAAGAAAGCTGAGCGCTGAAGAATTGATGCTTTTGAACTGTGGTGTTGGAGAAGACTCTTGAGAGTCCCATGGACTGCAAGGAGATCCAAACAGTCCATCCTAAAGGAAATCAGTCCTGAATGTTCATTGGAAGGAGTGATGTTGAAGCTGAAACTCCAAACCTTTGGCCACCTGATGCGAAGAACTGACTCACTGGAAAAGACCCTGTTGCTGGAAAGATTGAAGGCGGGAGGAGAAGGGTATGACAGAAGATGAGATGGTTGGATGGCATCACTGACTCAATGGACATGAGTTTGAGTAAACTCTGGGAGTTGGTGATGGACAGGGAGGCCTGGCGTGCTGCAGTCCATGGGGTCGCAAAGAGTCTGACACAACTGAGCGACTGAACTGAATGGAACTGAAAAATCTCTATATTTTGTTAAAAGAGATAAGTGAATTAAATATAATGATTACTTTTTCACATCAAAAGCCATAAAGTAATTCATTCTTTTATTAAGGAAATAAATATTGACCACTTACTATGTGCCAAGTACGCTCTAGTGGTGGGATATAGCAGTCAGCAAAACTTCAAAGTCCCTGTGCTTTTAAGCTTGTATTTATTTTTCTTTCTTACTAGAATATATTAGGTAATGAAAAGTACTATGAGGGAAAATGGAGTAGTGTAGAGGGATAAAGAATTGATGTCAGTTCTATTTTAGATAGTGTGCTCAGGGAAAGCCTCCAAAAATGGGAAATTTGGGAAGAGGTTTGAATGAAGAAAGAAGGTTGCCACTCAAATATCTGGATGAAGGTTGTTATTCAGAAGCAGTGGGGGCTTTAAGTACAAAAGGCTCTGAGGGCAGAATTTTAGTTGATATATTCAAGGAACAACAAGAAGACCACTGTCTCCAGAACAGAGTGAGGTAGAGGAAGTGTCCTAGGACATGAAATTAAAGGAGTGTATGGGGGTGTCCTTCCCATATGGTGGTGACTTACGTAGTACACAAGGAATTAATATAAAATCCAACTTCCAATGGAGGGAAAGCCATTGGAGAATTTTGAGTAGTAGAGTAAGACCTAATTTAATCTTTCGAAAGGATCACTCTAGGGGCTGTGGGGAAACTAGTCTGCAGTTTATAATACTAGAAACAATGAGACCAGATTGGATGTTATTATGGTAGGTTGGATGAGAGATTATGGAGGCTTTTACTAGGATGGTAGTCAAAGCGGTAGTGAGAAGTTTTCAAAATTTAACCTGAGTCATTAAGAAGTGTTGATGCATGGTTGTGGCAACTGAGCGGAATTTTTTTTTAAAGAAGAGTCAAATGTGACTCTCAGATATGGGACTGGAACCAACTACATAAGGAATATTGCCATTTACTAAAATAGGATGAGTGTGGGAGAATAAGATTGAGGTTTCAAGTATGTTAAGTGTGAGGTGCCTGTTAGACACCTGACTTCATTAACATGGTTTCAGAAATTGTTAATGATGTTCTGTTTGCAAAAGAAAATATAGTAACCACTTTATGGTTATAAAACATGTTCACATAGTAATCTAATTTGGGTACTGTCATAGCCTTGTGAATTATATGAGGCAGTGTGTGATGGACAATTTCTTGAGCTTTCAGTTCTTCTTGGCTGAGGTTATTTTTTTCTTCTATCGAAGTATTTTCTTGCTGAGGCTATTACTTTTTCTGCTGAAGTATTTTCTTGCTCAAGTAAGAATTTCCTGAATTTGTCTGTGGGCAAGCTGTGAAAGAACAAAGTATTTTAACGTCTGGCTGGTTTAAAATTACTACAGTTCTGCCATCTTCTTTTCAACTTTATAAGACTTCAACTAGAAATTTAAGATTAAGGATTAATACTTGAAAATGATGATAATAAAAATAATAATGATACCACCTAACACTTGAATACTTGTCATTTCTCTTGCACTCTGCCTGATGCTTACATACATTAAATAATTGAATCCTCACAACAATCCCCATTCTACAAAGAAAGTAAGCTATCATGATATTAGGTAACTATGCCCAAGTTTCCAGAGCAAGGGAGTGGTGAATCAAGATTCATCCAAGAATTCTGGTACTAGAGCCGGCACTCTCAACCACCCCATATTGCCTCTTGGGAGAAACTGAGAAATTTTCAGTAGAATAAGAGATGAGAGTGCTTGCATTTAAGTAGTGGGTAGTGAGGATGTAAAGTAAGAAAATAATCTAAGATATTACTTCC